TGGGGTGTGGCGTGGAGTGGCTTCCGATCCGGGTCTGGGGCCACAGAGCTATAAGCAGCAGGCGGACCGGAAACTATTCCGCCGACTGACGCCATCATCATGATGGAAGAGGGACGGGAGATATCTTCGCCATGGCAAACTGAAGAAACGTCTGTCACAGCCGTGTAGGTGCCTGGATGAGCTACGGGACCCGTCCCCCCTTCACCTGGGATCTGGGGCCCCCGAGGAGAGAGGGGGACAAGGAGGGGGGCAGCCAAGCATCTCACGCGGCTTCTCTCCCCCCGCAAGCGCGGGTCGGCGGATGGCAAGCGTATCATGTCAAGCAGATCGTTGGATTCCGTTCCATTCTAGGGTGGTCTGTTGATCCCGTGCAGGCATCGTGCCAATACAACCCGATTGAGAGATGGACCCGGGATCGAGGGGCACACCTTGCAGATTCCCCGATCGGATTGAGGGTGCACATGAAGGCAATGCTGTCTCCATGGTCCCGCCCTCCTGTCATGGCGCCAACATCGCAGAGCGGATTTCGTTCGGAAAACAACAGGATGAGCCCGGAGTGTCCTGGAGAATTTCGTTCCGGATTTCAGAGTGAATTTCGCGCGGATTTGTTTGGCCAGGAATGAAGACCAAACAAATATCCACACGAAATTCACTTCGCTTTTCGCTCGCCGCTTCGGGAAAAAATCCACGCAGAAATCCACGCAAAAATCCGCTGCAGCACGTCTGCAAGGCCGGTGCAATGGAATGTTGTCTCCATGTTCTCGCCCTCTTGCCAGCACAGGAGCCTGGCACCTTCCTGCCGCGTGCTTGAATTGCTGGTTCGCTTTGCCTGCCTTCCCCGCGGACTGACCCCCAAACCTACAGCTCCGAAGTCGTACCGTCGGTTCATGCGGCGTTGGCGCGCTGGCGACGCCAGCGAAGGCGTTCAAGGTTGAATTCTGCGACGCGGAGGCACCGATGGACACGGTAACACCATTGGACCGGACTGAAGTCATTTTTGAACGATCGAGGTTGCGATCGATTCAAGGTTGAACGATCGACGCGGTGTCAAAAACCTTTGCGCGCGCCGACGCCGCACGATCCTTCCGTAGATCCCTTCCCCGGGACGGGCGTCTCATCCCGAGTGGTTGCTTGATTGCCCCAGGGGCCTGGTGAGGGGCCCCCACGGACCGAAAGTTGCCCAAGACCTCCCGTCGTGATCTTCTCTCAGCAAAAGGAGGTGGGGGAGTCCATGGTTGGGAGTCGGGTCGAGGGTCCCGATTAGCCACTTTGATTGCGGACCGCGTTCTGCAACAGCAAAAACACGCAGGGTGATACGCCACACGGCGGGCACCGTGATCACCACCATGCTCGAGAAGCTCGGCGTGATTGCGTGCTCCCAGACCTTGGACCAGCTGGCTGGGTTTCTGAGCGACGGCAGTGCTGATGTTGTTGATGGTAGTTTCAATGCGCTGAACAAGATATGCGAGGATGGCGTCAGTCTGCTGAAGCAGCTTTGGGAGGCCTGGGCGGGTCTTGAAGGGGGGCATGCGGAGGTTCTCGGCAGAGCAAGCCCACCAGCACGCAACGCGTCCGCGCTGACCAGATGCAGCCTGGGACAGGGGTGGGGAGCCAGAAGAGGTGGAGGGTGGGGCAGGAGAGGAGGATGAGGCCCAGGAGGCGAGGGTGGCAAATACGCGTTCCCCGGGAGTCTTGACCCCTTCCCCAGGGCCGGTTTGTCATCCCGAGTCGTTGTTTGACGGTCTTGGGGCCCGCCGAGGGCCCTGTAGAGGCCGAAGATTGTGAAAAACGTCCGTCTTGATTTTTGTCCACACGTTGGATCTCTGGGGAGGGGCGGGGCGGCGGCATCGAGTGGGGAAGGCGTGGGAGGTTCTGGGGCCAGGGCTGCGGCGAGAGAGGCAGGGAGCCCGTAGTTGGCAGGAGTTGAGATGCGGGGAGATGGGGGGCGGGTGTCGGGGAGGCGAGGCGAGGCGAGGCGAGCGCAGGGGGCGGGTGGCAATAGGGTTATGTCGGGCGTGTCCTTCTCACAGGAGGAATATTCGAAAATAGTCCAAAAATAGTCTGGGGACGATTTCTTGAATCTTTTGGAACATGTTGAATTATTTTTCCCAACCATCCTGTGGTGTTGGGTCCTCGTTTTGAAGAGACGGCGCCCCGCGTTCCTCACCTCCTCCTCCTCCTCCCCCCCCCCTCCCTCCTCCCATCATCATCATCATCATCATCATCATCATCATCATCATCATCATCATCATCATCATCATCATCATCATCATCATCATCATCATCATCATCATCATCATCATCATCATCATCATCATCATCATCATCATCATCATCATCATCATCATCATCATCATCATCATCATCATCATCATCATCATCATCATCATCATCATCATCACCACCGATTTCGGCACACCCCTCACACGTTTCGTGGCCCCATAGGGAGCTCCACCGAAGGCCCCAGTGGCAGGGTTCGCATGCCTCCCACCACCCATTTCGGCACACCCCTCACACGTTTCGTGGCCCCATAGGGAGCTCCACCGAAGGCCCCAGTGGCTGCGTTCGCATGCCTCCCCACCACCCATTTCGGCACACCCCTCACACGTTTCGTGGCCCCATAGGGAGCTCCACCGAAGGCCCCAGTGGCAGGGTTCGCATGCCTCCCCACCACCCATTTCGGCACACCCCTCACACGTTTCGTGGCCCCATAGGAGCTCCACCGAAGTCCCCAGTGGCAGGGTTCGCATGCCTCCCCACCACCCATTTCGGCACACCCCTCACACGTTTCGTGGCCCCATAGGGAGCTCCACCGAAGGCCCCAGTCTGCCGTCGCATGCCTCCCCACCACCCATTTCGGCACACCCCTCACACGTTTCGTGGCCCCATAGGGAGCTCCACCGAAGGCCCCAGTGGCAGTCCGCATGTTTTCGGCACCCCCTCACACGTTTCGTGGCCCCATAGGGAGCTCCACCCCCAGTGGCTGCGTTCGCATGCACCCCACCACATCACACGGCACACGTTTCGTGGCCCCATAGGGAGCTCCACCGAAGGCCCCAGTGGCAGGGTCCGCATGCCTCCCCACCACCCATTTCGGCACACCCCTCACACGTTTCGTGGCCCCATAGGGAGCTCCACCGAAGGCCCCAGTGGCTGCGTTCGCATGCCGCCCCCACACCAACTTCGGTGCACCCCTCACACGTTTCGTGGCCCCATAAGGAGCTCCACCGAAGGCCCCAGTGGCAACGTTCGCATGCCGCCCCCACACCCATTTCGGCACACCCCTCAAACGGTTCGTGGCCCCATAGGGAGATCCACCGAAGACGGTACTCACACCAGCATTACTCACAACTGCATATGGTTGGGTCCTTCGCCAGGCTAATTTTTATGTTTCATCCACAATCCCCCTGTAGGGAGACACGCCCGACCTGAACCTCAGTGGGGCAACGAACAGCGACACCAGCGACGCAAACATCTCGGACCGGCGCTGGGCCCCCGGAGCCGCGCGGACCTCCGAGCTGTTTTACGTCTGCGTCACGGCTCTCGTTCCCCGACGGACTCGGGGCTGCAGGGCCCCGACAAGGGGCCCCTCTGGGGCCCCCGCTGGCTCCGCAACGGGGTGCGGCAGGGCCCCCGTTTGGGGCCCTCCCCCCCCCCCCCCCCTGAGGGTCTCCCCCCCCTTTCTTCAGGAGGGGAAAAACAAAGAGACACCATGAATCGTCGATTCCCCAGAAAATATAGGAAAATATTGGTTGTTTGTGTTTCTTTATTTGTGTGTGTCCCTGAGCCCCTTCATTTCTGCCCGCCCGAATGGAGGGGCAAGGCAGGTGGGGGGCACTTCCGTGCTTCGTGCCGTGGCGCGGCAGCGGCTTTCGCGGCGCCACTCGGGGAGCAGCTGGCTAGGCGCCGTGCGTGCGTGCGCGCACGTCTCCCTCATCACCCGTAGCCTTAAGTTGGGCGTGTCCCTCCACAGGGGGAACATTCAAAAATAGTTTGTTTTTTAAAGTATGGGGACGATGTTTTACTATTACTGGACGTTTGGGGGGTATTCTTTGAGTATTTTTTATTTGTCGACCAAAATCCCCCTGTAGGGGACACGCCCGACTTAACCGTCTCCTGTAGCATCCCACCCATGTTTCCTGAGCCAGCCAGTTGGCCCCTGATCATCAACAGCCTCATCATGACCACCGTCACCATAAGCAGACTCCTCATCATCAGCAGTTCATCGTCGGTCATCCGCCTCATCGTCGTCATCGCCACCACCGCCACCAGCATCATCACTCCTCCTCAACATCAGCATCCCTTTTTCTCTGTTCCGCAATCCCTCCCCATCCTCACGTCCAGTCTCCCTCTTCTTCTGCACGTTGGTGTTGGCTCGAGGCTATGTGTGAGGCACGAGCGCTCCGTGTGCAGCTTGGGTTTGGCACAGGGTCGTCGCGAAGACGGGCAAAACGTCGGGGCAACGCCCAGATCTTCGGCCCCCTCTGGCCCCAGATCTTTGACCCCCTCTCTGAGAACATGAAAACGTAACGTTGCCGCTGCTCCCTGGATCTCTCCCGGGGCGCGTTCTGACGAGGATTTCGAGGCGAATCTGGCGGTGGCGACGAGAGCCTCCTCCAAGGATGCTCAAAACGGCATCGGTGTCTGTTCCTCTTCTGACTCGCGTTGGCCTCCCGCCGTGCGGCACATCCGGAAGCGTCGACGACGAGGACGAGGACGACAAGAACGGCGAGGGCGGACGGCGGCGACGGCTGCGACTGGCGCTCGACGCGAGGCGCCGGCCGAGTACACGGAGCCTTTCGTGACCTGGTCCACCCAGCAGTTGTTGCCGCGTGTGTTCGAGTACGCTTCGCCGAGGGTTCCTTCTCCTCCTCCTCCTCGTCCTCCTCGTCCATCTCCCTCCTCCCTCTCCTTTCCTCATTCCGCCCTTCATCCTCCGCACCCTCCCTCCTCATCACACGCTGTACTCCTCCCTGCCTCTCTCCTTCTCCCTCCTCGTCCTCTCCGCCCCCACCCCCCCCACAATGAAGCAATCTGTGCGTGCTGCTCGCCTCTCTATCCCCGAAGACGGCCCGAGAGTCGCACGCGCCCCGCCCTCCGCGTATCGTTTTTGTTTTTTGTACGCAGGGTGAATCCCGCTTGCTTCTCCAAGTTGCATGCTCCTCCCCCCTCCCTCCTCCCTCCTCCTCCCTCCTCCCTCCTCCCTCCTCCTCCTGCACCCTCCTCCTCCTCCTCCTCCTCCTCTTCCTCCTCCTCCTCCTCCTCCTCCCTCTCCTCCTCCTCCTCCCTCCTCCCTCCGCAAATCCGAACGCTCTCGGTCCTTCCAGAGTGTGCTCCCGCTGCAGCCTGGGTTTCGTTCTCGGATCGGGAGCCCTGCTCGCGTCGTTCCGGTTGGCTCTCTCGCCCCAGCGCGGGGCCGCTCTCCTGGATCCGAGTCATTCCTCATCTTTGTCCTCCGCCGCCTTTCCCCTCCCGCGCCTTCCCCTTGTCCTCTTGCTTCTCCTGGTCGTTCAGCTCCAGTTATTTATGCTGTTGCTCGTCCTCGTCGTCCTTCTTCATCATCCTATGTTCCCAACCCTTCCTTCGGACATCGAGCATTGTTGTCGCCCTCCTCCTCATCATCATCAGCAGCAGCATCAGCATTGCCATCGTCATTGTCATCGTCATCACCATCATCGACAGCATCCTCATCCTCATTATCATCACCATCGTCATCAGCAGCAGCATCATCAGCAGCAGCATCGTCACCGCCATCGCCACAATCAGCATCATCAGCAGCAGCATCAGCATCAGCATCATCAGCAGAATCAGCATCATCAGTATCATCGTCATCATCACCATCATCATCATCATCATCACAACCAACAGCAGCATCAGCATCATCATCGTCAGCAGCATTAGCATCAGCATCAGCATCATCATCAGCATCAGCATCATATGCAGCATCATCGTCATCATCATCAACAACAACATCAGCATCATCATCAGCATCAGCATCATCATCAACAACATCAGCATCAGCATCATCGTCAGCATCAGCATGATCATCAACACCACTATCATAATCGTCATCATACTCATTAGCAGTATCAGCATCCTCTTGATCATCATCATCATCAGCAGCCGCATCATAAGCCCCATAAGCATCATAATCATCAGCATCGCCACCAACAGTATCAGTATCAGCAGCATCGCCATCAGCATCATCATCAGCATCAGCATCAGCATCAACATCAGCAATATCATCACAATCACCAGTCTCGTCATCATCATCATCGCCATCATCAGCATCATCATCATCATCAGCAGCATCATCATCGTCATCAGCATCAACATCATCATCACCATAATCAGCATCATCATCATCATGCCTCCTTCCTCCTCGCCTCCATTCCTCCCACTGTTCCTATTGGGCAGCTGCGAACCGAACAGCTGTATTGGGGGCTGCGAACTGCGCAAGTGTTGCCGCTTTGACGGGCTCCTGGGAGATCTAGCGGAGTGGGTAGCCACGCACACCCAGGCGAGACTTCGCGGCTCCCTGGTAGGTCCAGCGTAGTGAAGTCTCACGCGCACCCAGGCAGGAGTTTGCGGCTCCCTAGGGGGCTGCGAATTGCACATTTGTCGCCGCTGTCGTGGGCTCCTACGAAGTCCAGCGGAGTGTGTAGCCACGCGCTCCCAGGCGAGACCGTGCGGCTCCCTGGAGGGCTGCGAACTCCACAGCTGGCGCCGCTTTTGTGGGCTCCTGTGAGGTTCAGCGGAGCAGGGAGCCACGCACACCCAGGCGAGACTTCGCTGCTCCCTGGGTGGGCTGCGGACTGCGCAAGTGTCGCTATTTTCGCAGTCTCCGAAGAAGTCCAGCGGAGTGGAGGGCGACGCACACCCAGGCGAGACCTCACGGCTTCCAGTGTCAGGCGCTCCCAGGCGAGACCGTGCGGCTCCCTGGAGGGCTGCGAACTCCACAGCTGGCGCCGCTTTTGTGGGCTCCTGCGAGGTTCAGCGGAGCAGGTAGCCACGCCCACCCAGGCGAGACCTCGCTGCTCCTTGGGGGGGCTGCGAAGTGCGCAAGTGTCGCTATTTTCGCAGGCTCCTAAGAAGTCCAGCGGAGTGGAGGGCCGCGCACACCCAGGTTCTGGGAAGCAGCTGGCAGATCCAGCAGATTAGAGTGCCACGCACATCCAGACTTCATCTCGGCGCTCCATCGGGCTGTCAATTACGCAGCCGTCGCCACGTTTGTGCGCTCCTGGGAGAGCGGGGGGGAGTGAGACGGAGATCAAGACTAGACCTGGCTCTCCCTGGGGGTTGTCAAGTGCGCAAGTGTTGCCGCAGACAGGTGGTTCACAGCGGTGGCCCATCGGAACCGCAGAGGTTATTCTTGGCAGTACTTCCCCTCCTTATGCAAGCCTTCCAGTTTACCGGAAACGGGCCCCCTGGAGGAGGAGGAGGAGGAGGAGGAGGAGGAGGAGGAGGAAGAATAATAAGAAGAGGAGGAGGGGGGGAGGACAAGCTAGGTGCGCTCGCGTCATATCTGACGTCCTACCCCTCCCTCCCATCCCTTACCATGGCGCTGATTTTCTCTATCCGTGGACGCGTGTCGTAGCGGACCTGTGGCTCCGCGCGCGCGTGCGTAGTGGGTGGTGGTGCACGTGCGTGCGTGCGTGCGTGTGTGCGTGGTTGTCGTGGTGGTGGTGGTGGGTGGTGGTGGTGGTGGTGGTGGTGGTGGTGGTGGTGGTGGTGGTGGTGGTGGTGGTGGTGGTGGTGGTGGTGGTGGTGGTGGTGGTGGTGGTGCTGGTGGTGGTGGTGGTGGTGGTGGTGGTGGTGGTGGGTGGGTGGTGGTGGTGGTGGTGGTGGTGCGGTGCGCGCGGTGGTGGCGGGCGGATGGGCGCGCGAGAAAAAGGCCCGCGCTGGGGCGAGAACGCCATCCTGAACGACGGAGGCCAAACACCGATCCGAAAATGAGGCCCACGCTGCAGCGGGAGCACGATTCGGAACGATTCGGGAGCAGAAATGAGGCCGGCGCCTCAACGAGAGCAGCATTTTGGGAAAAAATGACGCCGGCGCCTCAGCGAGAGTCGTTTCCCGGGATTTCCCGGGCATCCTGTGTGTAAAAAAACAGTACGCGGAGGGCGCGCGGCTATCACCCGGACGCCATCAGGGGAAGGATTCGGGAGCAGAAATGAGGCCGGCGCCTCAACGAGAGCAGCATTTTGGGAAAAAATGACGCCGGCGCGAGAGCAGCATTTTGGGAAAAAATGACGCCGGCGCCAAGCGAGAGTCGTTTCCCGGGATTTCCCGGGCGTCCTGTGTGCAAAAAAACAGTACGCGGAGGGTGCGCGGCTATCACCCGGACGCCATCAGGGGAAGAGGGAGAGTATATTCATATTGAGTAATTGTTGAGGATTTCCCGTGAATCGTGAAAGTCGTACGCCCCCCATGTAGCTTTCATAGCGCATCGGGGTTCTGGACATGCTATTATCCGCACAATGCGGGCACATTGCGATGGTCATTTGTCATAGATGAGTTGGGTGCGTCTCGGGTAGTTTCCTCCTGCTCCTCGGCCACCTCAACATCCTCCTTCCCCTCCTCCTCTTCCTCCTCTTCCTCTTCCTCCTCCCCCGCCTACGTACGCAGCTACTCATACGGGCTGCGCATAGCACAGTGTGGTCTTTGTTGCAGTTACACGCCCGTTATGGAAGAACGACACCCTGTCTAATGAGGTAGACGCTCACATCAATAAGAAAAATATTCCATATCACAGACAATAAATGAAGATCATGAAGTGGAAGCACAGGTAGTAACCTTGAACTGCAACGCAAGATCAAGATCAGGTGTCGGAGAATGGCCAAATCAGCGCAATGTGAAGGAATTGGTAAGAGTGGTAGGATGCCATATACAACGTGTGCGCACCTAGCTTGCCCTCCTCCACCTCCTTGGTTTTCTTCTCCCTCTTCTACTCCTCCTGCTCCTCCCCGTTCCTTCCTCCTTCCTCCCTTTCTCCCTCCCTCCGCTCTTCCTCCATCTTCGCCTCCTCCTTCTCATTTCCCTTTCCCTGGAGATGTTAGGACGTGTTCGGTTCGGCCTCCGGAGGCCTTTTGGAAACCTCGGGGAGGGGCCTCTGGAGACTTCCAGGGAGCTCTTGGAGACCTGAGGATCTCGTTAAGCCCCTTCCGTGTTGCGACTTCTCCTTCCCTTCCCCCTCCCTCGAGGCGTCCGTCATCGCGCGGCAGAACGCGATCGAATGTCTCAACCATTTTGCTTTGGGTTGGGTCTTGAATGACACCGAAAGATATGCGGCGTTCCAGCCATACGCCCAGAGGTATGTCGAGGCTCTTGGCATTCTAGCCAACGACACTGACGTTGTGGTCTTGACGCACGTATGCAAAGGATTCGTGTGCATAATTGAGAACAGCTGGACTTGTCTTGCGCCGCAGAATGCTCAGGCGGTCGTACAGTATATGCTAAAAGCATCGCAGCACCCCGCGTATGAAGTAAGGCAAGAGGCACTCGAGGTGTGGACACCGTGCACTAACTCTCACGAGATGCTCGCTCTGATCGCCCCAATTCTGCCAGAGTTGGTGCCCGTGTTGTTGGCCAACATGCGGTTCTCCAACGCCGACTACATGGGCATGGAGCTGCGGGTGATAAACTTGCGAATACAACTGATTCCCAGCGTATTCGAGTGATACCTCCCCCACCCTTCCCCAGCTTCGCTTTCATCTTGCTCAGCAACCCAACCCCAGGAGCAAGCTCAGATCGACGACGACAATGCCGAGCAGCCAGACCAGCTCGAGGACATCAAGCCGCGCTTTCACAAGGAGGACGGCGATGACGACGACGACGGGCAAGGCTCGGGACCGGAAAGCGGCCAGCGTGCACCGCTGCACTCCTCCGCACCTCCCCCATCCCGTCCCCCCCGCGAGGAGCATGACGAAGCTACGGCAGGCTCGCGTCGTCTCGACCGCCGGCGACCCCGCCCCCCGCGTTCCGCGTGGAGCGCCGCCGGCGACCCGGAACCGGTCGAGGTTGAGCGATCTGACGTTTGGGTGCACGGCCGATCGTGCCAGGCTGAGCGATCCAGCGAGGCGTCGGCAGCCAGCGCCGAGGTCGGCACGACGCGAGCCCGCCGCACGCTTCGCGTGCCGCGCGCGCGGCTTCCCCGGCAGAGGCCAGAGCGGCGGCGCCTGGGGGGCCGAGTGGACGGTGCGCAAGGCGGCGGCTTCGTCACTCGACCACCTGGCCAACGCCTTCTCCGCGGGGATCCTGCCCATCGTGCTGCCGCTGATACAGCAGAGGCTCGAGGCCTTCGGGGGGCCTTCTTGTGGGGGGGGGGGGGGCCGCGGAGGAGGAGGAGGAGGAGGAGGAGGAGGAGGCGACGGCGTCGCCCGCATTACCATTGCGACCACCATCACCACTACGTATCATCATCGCCGTTGTCAGATTCAGCAGCATCAGCGTCATCATCGTCGTCATCATTATCATCATCAGCATCATCAATATTGTCATCGGCATCATAATCATCAGCAACCGCAGCAGCATCATCATCATTAGCATCACTCAGCCGCCCAGGTCATGGACCGTCGGGAGAAGGGCCTGAGCGCCATCGCGCCTATTGGCCTTTGCGAACAGGTTCGGGTGGGCAACTGCACTCACGATTGCCTGAGTTGTTCCAACAAGTTGCGAGTGGATGGCGGCGTGTCTGCTCGAGCACAGGAGGTGGTGATGCGCGGAGGCTCACATTTCATAGCGCTCACAGATTGCGCCTGGATTGCACCGCACAGGTTGCGCCCCATTGATTGCACCTCCTGGGTTCTTTTGACGGTGGAGGCGGGGGGGTATCGGTTCGGCTTGACACAACGCCCATCTCCAATGTCAGAGAATACCTTGCGCAGGAGGCCAGCATTGACCACCCTCGTTACCCCTGTCAAATAATACAACTTGGAGCTCGCGCGATGATCTAGGAAGTGCGGTTTGCAAAAGCCCTTGTCAACTAGTTAAAGCGTGCCACACGCGTGCACATGACAACATCCTTCAAGTACGCGCTGTTTCACCGGATGATTCACAAACACATGTGCAACATACATGTCCAACCCAACAGAAGTATGCAATGTTTCTGCGCGCGCCCGCTGCAATCATAGGAGACCATTGCGGACTGCAGGCGCGCGCATGCCGCGAACATTTCAGAACCATTGCGCACGCGAGAACCCTGTCTCATAACACAATACGAGCCACACTCGCTCTTTTCTTGTGCGCGCACATGTCCTCATCATCCTCGACAGCACCGTCGTCAGATGCACCGACAGAGTCATCATCAGCATCACCATCATCAGCATCATCGGAATCATAATCCTCATCATCACCTCCGTCAATAGTTACATCAACGTCGTCGTCATCGCCACTACCGTCGTCAGCATCACCATCGTTATTGTCACCGCCGTTGCCGCTGTGCGCCTTGGTCAACCACGACGTTTTGTTTCGAATTGCTTCCCACTTACTGCGCCACAAAGGTTGCACATCATGGGTTGCACAGAGTCGGCGTTTGGGGCCCACGCGGTGGCATCAGTTTTTTCATACGGTTGGGGACTCGCCAGGGTGCCCTCAGAGCCTACCAGAAAGCACCTGAAGAGCAGGGGGGGGATGACGACGACAACGAGGTGGAGGGGGCAGTGAGGAAGCGGCTGGGAATCATGGGAGGGAGCGGAATGAGGAGGAGTTGGTGGAGGAGAGGGGGGGAAGGGGAGAAGGGAAAGAAGGAACGCACAAAACAGTGAATGCGTATTTCTATATTTATATATATATATATATATATATATACGATCGCTTCGCTTCGCCTCAAATGTTTGTTCTGCGTTCAAGAATTGCTGGGTGGCTGCCGAAGGTCACACCGGTGCGGAAAGATCATGACCACGAGGGGGGGGGTCAGTGGCTGGATGGAGCCCGTCGGCATGCTCATGCCATGAGGGAAGGGCATCGCTGCCACGAGGGCGAAGGTGAGGGGGGAGCGCGATGGCGGGGTATGCCATTATTCCACTTGGGGTGACGACCAGGAGACCAATTGGGGTGAACGTCATGGCCGCCAACAGGGTGAAGGTCAGGGCCCATCGGGGCCTGAACTGGGGCCGCGACGCCCATGGTTTGGAAAAGTAATCGGCGATTTGAGCGATCGGAGCCAAAATCGCAACGATCCTTGATGGAGGTTGATGTCATCGCTGCGGCACGGGGCTCAAGTCACGATCGCAAAAGAGGTCGTCGGGAATTCGGGGGAGGGGGGGTCACGGTGATAATATTGAAGGGTCGAGGGTGGTAACCGTGAGTGGACTCTTGGTCGTCATAGTGAGAGTGCAGAGGTTTATGTAGGATCTGGGGAACTGCTCACACACGACGGATGTTCGCGTTGATCAAATCGTTGGCCTCCAGATCTTCTGCATCTGTCCGTCGTCTCCTCACCCCTGGCGCTTGCATGGAGAGTGCAACGCAGCGAGGCATCCGGAAGAGGAGGAGGAGGAGTTGGGCCTGTTGGGCTGTGCAGGTGGCCTCTAGGCGGTTGCTGGGGGTCTGGCGGAGGCCTCTGGGGCAGTTTGGGGGCCTCGCGCACCGTCTTGGGGCCCTCCTGGGCCGTGTCCGGGTCTTCGGGGGCTGTTTTGGGACCGTCTTGGGCCATTTTGGTTTTTGGGGGCCGTCTCGGGGCCGTCTTCGAAGATTCCTGGGCCGTCTTGGGCCGTGTTGGTGCCGTTTTCGGCTGTTTCGGGGCCGTTTCGGAAGTTTCTTAGGCCGTCTTGGGGCGATATCGGAAGCTCGCGGGGCCTTCGTGGCGCATGGGTTACCATAAAGGAAGGCGAAAGCCGTAACAGTCATCAAAAAAACAAACGACGAAATGATCGATTGTTGCATATCGCGGCTCTCTTGGGCGTCTCCTGGGGCCCTATCGGGAGGCATTTCGGTCGTGCTTTAGCCGTTTTGGGACCAGTTGTAGGCCGTCCTTTGGCCTTTTTGTCCGCGTTGGGGGTCGTTGCGACGCTATTGGGGCCGTCCGCAGCGTCAAGAGGCTTGCGGCTTGCTAGCCAGGGAGGCCCGGGAAGCCTTGGGGGTTGTCCGAAAGGCACCCAGGGCCAGGGGGAGGCCGCCCGAGAGGGGTCCCGGGTTTGTCCGGTGTGTGCGTGTATGTGAATGTGTGCATGTGTAAGTGTATGTGTTATATGTGTCTGTGTGTTTGTGTGTCTGTGTGTCTGTGTGTTTGTGTGTCTGTGTGTTTGTGTGTCTGTGTGTCTGTGTGTCTGTGTGTGTCTTTGTGTCTGTGTCTGTGTGTCAGTGTGTCGGCGTGTCAGTGTGTCTGTGTGTCTGTGTGTCTGTGTAACTGCGTAACTGCGTGTCTGTGTGTTTGTGTGTCTGTGTGCCTATGTGTCTATGTGTGTGTGTGCGGGGGGGGCAGCCGCGGGGTGGGGGCTATTTCCACGCAGTCTGTAACGTCATAGGTGTGTATTTACATACGGGTCGTACACATGTTAACATGGATGCACACATGTAAATTTACACGCATGTATGTACATATAGATATGTGTATATATATATACACATGTATATGTATGTGAATACATACATAAGTAGACATGCGTAAACATATACATAATGTATACATGTGCGCAGATCCTGGGGGAAGAGGCCCGGGCACCCGGCACCAAGGGCCCCCGTGGAAACTCCGGAGGCCACCGGGGAGTCTGCAGGCCTTTCCGGGAGAGCCCCACCGTCCTACGAAGGGGCTCGAAGTGCTTCCGACAGGACCCCACGACTTTCCCAGAAGCCTCCGAGGCCCAAGAGCGCCCCAAGAAGTCCACAACGGCTTCAATACGGCCCACGAGGACGCCCAACGGGCTCCATGGAACCCACCTTTATTATTTCTCTTCGGGGGGGTTCCATTGATGGAACAGTCGCAGGTTCGGTTTTCCGGGCGTCTCAGACGGCTCAAGAAGCCCCCAACACGCTTCAACGAGGCCCCAGCGAGGCATCCAACAGGCCGCAAGAGGACCCAAGAGCCCCAAAGACGGCCCAAGAGATTTTCAAAACAGCACAAATGGGCGCCTCCGACGGCGTCCGACGGCGTCAGGCGGCCCAAGAAACCCCAAGAGGTTCCCAAGACGCCCCGAGGAGGCCCCAAGAGGCCACCAAGAGTCCTCCAAGATGCACCAACAGGCGCCAACACAAACCCACACGAGGCCCTCAACACGAGATGGCCCCAAGATGGCCTCAGTCGGGCCCAGGAGTGTCACCGCACGCTGCAAAAGAGCCCCACGATAGCTCACAACAAGCCTCGTTTCCACGTTCTCCCAACTCCGAGCATTAACCGATTCACGGTGGGCTGACAAGATCGATCAATGAAGACCCAAGCGGCTCCACAAAGCCCCTCAAGACAGCATTGCCCTTTCCATCCTACCTCCTCCCTCCTGCGTATTTCCTCCCACTTCACTGCGGTGGGGCGTTTGTTAAGGAATGTGCCCAGGACTCTTCAGGCCCTTGGGAGTTCCTTCTCCGACGGGTGCGACAGCAATAGCCATGGCCAAGCCTCAACGACTGTTCCGAGAGGCTTCCAGACCCTGGGTTCTTTTCGTGAGGGTTCTGACCCCAATGTCCTTACCGAATGCACTCCACGTGTCATCCCAGACCCTCCCTCCTCCTCCTCCTCCTCCTCCTCCTCCTCCTCCTCCTCCTCCTCCTCCTCCCCTCCTCCTCCTCCTCCTCCTCCTCCTCCTCCTCCTCCTCCTCCTCCTCCTCCTCCTCCTCCTCCTCCTCCTCGCAGACCGAGGGAGGGCGTGGAGGCGGCGGCAGCCGCTTTGGGGCTACCGCAGGGGAGGCCCGCCAGGCCGGCTCCCAGTCCCCGGCTCCAGGCCGACATCGGCGGGCGGCCGGGCTTCTCGAGGCCACCCACACGTCAAGCAGTTGCGAAGCGTCCTGGCTCGCCTAGAGCCCCACCAAACAATGCTCTAAGAACCTTGTGTGGTTTCCACGAAATGT